CTGCTAAATTTAAGTGCAACACTTTTTGGATTAATTCCAGCAGCTGTATTCAGTTCTCCTAAACGTCATATCCGAAACAGTTCGGTATCATCAGTCCAAAGTCGAATCAGTCAACTGCAACAAGCTGTAATTGCATCACGTAAAACTTCGCCGAAGCAAATTTCCACAAATAAAAGTGATTTTTTGCATGTTTATTACTTTTAAACTAGTGTAGCTCTCGTCTACTTAAAACAAGCTTCTTTTAAATACAGCGAAATTAAGTTCTATCTTTGCTTTGTACTACTTTGTGCCAATTCTCAGCATTTAGTGCTATAAAAAATACTATGCACTTATATGGCATGCATGCTAATATTTCTGAAATTTTAACTACATAATTTTAGATTCAGTCTTGAATGTAAGTCGCCGATTTAAAATGTTTAACAAAAAACACAAATAATTTTTCATTTTCCATAGTTAAACTTTTTTCCAACTATTATGATTTAAGTTACATATAATGTATAAACTAATTATTTGAAATTTTAGAAGAACGAGTTACTCATCGGGAAACATGTGAATCGCTAACGAATTATGTTTGTGGTATAATGAAAAGTAAAAATCTGCAACGTAAGTTTGATTCATCTGATCATGGCAATAAACCTGCACCCTCAATTTCGAGAATGGTTACAGTAGCCGGACAGACTATTCCTCACATGGTTAGTACTTACTATTTTTTTTTCAGACTTTATATTTTAAATTGGCACTGCCTTTATTAAAATTAATTTCAAATCCTATCATTTATTAATGATAAATTGATGCGCAATTAATTGTCGGCTGTCTTTGTCACATGACTACACCTATTTTAAATACAATTTGTTACACATTGCGGTACCATCAATCATCAGGGCTAATTTGGGTGAAAAATAATATTTAATTTGGATTTATTTCTCACTACTCCAGTTTGTCATACGTAAAAGCTTTCTTAAACGAACAGTAAAAGTTTAGGGCAAGTAATAACAGTCATAATCACATGAAGAAGAAATATAAGGGAAAATATACGAAGGGAACGCTTGTAAGTCGAAAAAAGAAACATATTATGCATAGTAAATATTAACACTTTTAAATTGATATTTTAAGTTTATTTCATAATTTAATTTAAAGTAATTAATTGGAAATGTGTTTTAGAGACCGATCAAATTTCGCCGAAAGTTGTATGAATTTTATGTAGCGCCAATAACAACATTTTGGGCATGGGCAATTACCTTTTGTGTATTCCTATGTTGCTTTACCTATACATTACTGGTTAGAACATTAACTGTTCCAACATGGATGGAATGGCTTGTATTTGCATATGTTGCTGTATTTGGTTTAGAATATTTACGTAAGGTTAGTTTTATTTGAAGAAGCTGCTCGTAAATTCAGTGATGTAATTTCAAATTTCATAAAATTTTTTTTAAAGGTAGTTATTATAGTTTGGATGTCCAAAACGCAATCCTCATTTCAATTTTATCAAAGCAAAAGCCTGGAATTGTTATATATAGTGTGTTCTGAAAATTGGAAGGAAATGAAAGTGCAGTTCAAAAACAGTTTCCTTAATTCTGCTTAATGCACTTGCTGATTTTCAAAAAAATTTTTTAATTTTGGCCTGATAATTATGAGACTCTTCGCTTACCATTTTTCTGATATTATTCGGTCATTATAGCTAAGAAGTTTTGGCTAATAAGAAGTTTTGGTAACAGTTCTGTTTCAGTTTATTATGTCTGAACCGGAATCGCTTGCTCAAAAAGTTAAGTACTTTTTTGATAATACTTGGAATTTACTAACAACTTTAGCCGTCGTAACATATTTAATTGGATTTGGATTACGACTGGATATAAAGCATGAATCAGTAAGGTTAGCATCTGTCTATCTATGACTTAATCGAGGAAATCATTTTTAATTTATCAAACTTTAGTAGATGCTTTTAACATTTTTTTCCGTGTCATATTTTTAGGGCATTTGGAAGAGTAGTACTGGCATGTAATTCGGTGCTTTGGTCCATTAAATTGTTGGATTTCATAAGTGTGCATCCTCGTATGGGACCTTATATTACAATGGCTGGAAAAATGGTAAACTTTTGGAGCTGATGTTTTTTGGTCTTTAGTAGTATTTTTTGTTTAACTTTATTTTGTCAGCTAATTGGATTGTTTCAACAATGTCAGATATGTTGAGATTGTTTACCTTGAATTTTGAACCATGTGAAATATGTGCTAAAACCAAGTTTTACAATTTTTTATTTTATAGATTCAGAATATGCTCTACATAATCGTACTATTGTTTGTTTCAATGTTAGCATTTGGTTTGGCTCGACAATCAATTACTTATCCCAATGAAAACTGGCATTGGCTTCTTGTGCGAAATATTTTTTACAAACCATATTTTATGCTCTACGGAGAAGTGTATGCTGGTGAAATTGATACATGTGGAGATAGAGGTTTTTTTGTAAATTTGATCAGAATGTTATTTAAATTTCAAAATCAGGTAGCTTGTTATAACATTATTATTATTTTGTTGTTTATTACTCAAACGGGTGATTATTTGAAGCATAAGAAAGTTTCATTAAAAAATCGATCATACTTTCAGCTTGGGACTCACATATTGAAAAAGGTATTCCCATCAGTGATTTATATAATGGAACACGTTCTGGTTAGTATTTGAAATAATGCAAAATTATACATATTGATCTAATTCTTATTTGATTCTTTGGAATCAAATGTCTTATTGCCTGTTCATTTTTTAAAAATTATTTTTTTTAGACAAAAATTGTCCATATGGTTATTGGGTACCACCATTGCTGATGACTGGTTTCCTACTCATTGCTAATATCTTATTAATGAGCATGCTTTTGGCAATTTTCAAGTAAGTTATATATCATGTTATTTGAATGTTTCTTTTTACGAGAATAACTTTATTAAGTAAAAGTTTGATTGTTTTACCAATCACTTCTTCCTATTAATATCTAATGTTTTTCTGTTTTCAGTAATATTTTTGAAAAGACGGATCGTGTTTCGAAAGAAATTTGGCTTTTCCAACGTTATCGACAAGTAATGGAATATGAAAGTACACCTTTCCTTCCTCCTCCACTTACATTTCTCTACTACTTATGGATGATTTTCAAATACATTAAGATCAAAAGGTATCATAAATTTGAAAAAACGATTTTCATTTTAATCTGTTCCATAATTTTTTTCTAATAAAAAGCGCCATTGATATTGATTACTGTGCAGTAATAAAAGTTATGATTTATGAAGTGATATCATTTAGTTAAGCAGTGTTATTATTATGAGCTATCATTCTTTTTTTTTTCAGTAGAACTAAGGTTGTAAGCTTTATTTCTTTTATTTCTTTATTTCTTTAATTTTTTTATTTCTTAATATACTACGAAAAAATTTTCACGGATATTTTGCGAATGATTTTGTATTTCAGAAATTGCAAAGCAACTTTAAAGTTTGCGACAAAAACGAATTCGAAGCTTTTTGATTTTTCTTTAAGTAAGTCTCCGTAGTTGTGCAGCTAGTTTAAAGCTTGAGACAAAAATTAGAGAACACGTAATCTAGATTGATATATCAATATAATATTGATATATCAATCTAAATAAATATTGATATGTTGAAATCACTGAGTTATTTTTCTTACTTGAAAAAAGTCTTCCAAAAAAAGTTTACAAAATATTATACTAAATTTTAATTTATATTCTTGCATATTTACTAACTTAATTTTCAATAAACATCTATGTATGCATATTTTTGGTGGCTGTCATTAATTTTTTCTTTATTATAATTTCATAGAGAAACTGTTCTGTATTTGATTAATTCTTACAATTTATAGAATTATTTTTGAATGCTGATCAGGTGGAAAAGCTACATGATTTTGAAGAAGAATGCATGAGAGATTTAGCTCGTGAAAAAGAATATGAAAAGAGTATATCGACAGAAGAAAGAATTCACCGAACTGCAGAACGGTAGGTGGTATTATCGTTTTTCAAGATTATCAGCATTTTATTATAGTTTATTACTGTCATCGTTTAGACTTTATCTTCTTTTTGCATTTTATTAAGATATGTATTCATACAGTTTCTTTTTTTTTTGCTTCTGCAAAAAGTTAAATTTTAGAGTCACGAATCTTCAGTACTGTTATACCTTATGTTGTCGCCTAATCGTATGATTTAGGATCAATTATCGTTGGAATGTGCTGTTTATATCAATCTATGCACTGATAGAATTATTGATTTACTTTGAGGAATAGAAATTTAAATAGCCTATTATTACTTAACTAATCATAAAATTATTGGTTTTATGAATCTCTGACAACCAAATATGTAATGCAATACATGAAATAATTAACTTAGGTGTTTTTAGAAAGATTATCATTTTATGTATTTCGTATGAGATTAATTGAAAGAAGTGAATTTTTCATCTCTGACATCCTCATATTTAATACAAATTTTTATTACCATAATTGAATAATGTTTTATAATTTGTAAACGATATTTTGCAGTATACGGAATTTATATATTCTGCAGTTTTTAGAAGTTCATTTTTATAAAATTTTATCTCTGAAATAACTTTTTTTAGTGTTTTGCGTGCTATTGCCAATTTTTTAGAACTGATCTTATACTTGTTCGATTGAATGATCTTACAAGTAAAGAATCAATCCTCAAAACAACAGTGCGTGATTTGGATCGTCGTTTGGAGATCATAGAAAGTAGACAGATTGCCATAGAAAGTGGACAGGTTTGTTTCCATATTTTAATATATTTATATTCCTGACAGCTATACTGAGCGTTGGATAATAACATTGCTTCAGTATTCCGGAACTTAGTTCAGTATTTAAATATATGATATTACTGCATCAGCAGATCAGTATATAAATCGATATTCCGAAATAAGCTAAGGTATTTTATCGTTAGATATACAGTATTAATGCATCAACAATCAATGTATAAGTATTGTCTGAACATGCAAAATATTTATTCTCATTTCGACATTACATATCTTTCATAACTTTCATGTCTCACATTGGCCGAAAGTTTGATAATAAATTTTGCGAGAAATAAAAATTTATATTAGTAATAAGAAAAAAAGTTTTTACTAATTTTTAGCATGAAATGCTTGATTATATACGCCAAACAGCTAATGCGGCACCTTATCTCTTCCCAAAAGCATCACAGCCGTGCAATGGTAATTTTCCTGTATCATCGTTACAGCTCAGCTCGTCTACGAAAGAAAACAGTCAAGGCAATTTGTCAGGTGTGGCGGATTTAGCAAACCTCTCAAAAATTGACTATTTATCAAGAAATGAAAGAGTAAGCTACTTTTTCTTCTCTCATTATAATTTCGTTGAATAGCAAATCTGATCGTAATTTAACTAGAAGAGGATTTGTATTTCTAAAATGTTGAATAGTTCTTGGAGCATTTATACACATAAATTTTCAATTGTGATTACTACAATAAACATACGTCCTAAATCAGTTTCAGTTGGAAACTAAGTCTTTGGGAAATGGTTACAGAAGTCCAGTGAAAGAAAATGACAACTTTATTACTTGTGGTATGACTTTGAAATTAGTTCTGATCTCTATACTACTATTTTATCGCTTATTATAATCATTATCAGTAGCATTATCATACACGTTTAAGAATAAATGCTATGTAAATGTAACTGTTGTATGATAGAATAATTAAATCTACATAATTTTTTGGTTAGATGTCTCATCCGCTATGTAGGTAAGGACAATGTTTGATACACAGTTATATCTAATTCAGTAAAATACGACTGAAATGCTTAAATTTACATCATCTATCATCAAAAATGATAGGAAATGGGACCGATTAGGATAAAACGAATAATATGAATTTTTGTCCTTCTTTTTTTCATTTTGCTTTCTGTTTTTCACTACTTTGATAATTGTGATACCTCTTTTATAGGCATTTAAAGTAATAAAATGAATAATTTTCCAGCTTTCTCAACTCATCCAAGAAAACGTGCCCGTACAACAACGGTAACGAGTTGTGTTGAAGTTCATACTGGTTCACAAATGAATGCGGAAAGGTATGCTAAAGATAAATCCTTTTTGAAAACGAAATTTTATATGTTATATGACTAGAAATTCCTATAATTTATAGCTGATTTAGACAATATGTATTTCACTGGAATGAAATTAATGGTATCAACTTTAAAATTATTTTCACAGCTGACCTAAATAGGTTATGTTAACAGTTAGATACAGATCTTTCTGATTTTTTTCAATATTTTCAACAAGAAGTCCTTATTGCATCTGTACATTATAATATTATTATACACTTTTTTTTTCAATATTTTCAACAAGAAGTCCTTATTGCATCTGTACATTAATATTATTATTATTATAATATTATTATACACTAAATATTATTATACACTTGGAAATAACTTGCATGGTGAAGCATCAACTCATAAATTCATTTGAGTCAAAAAGATTTATTATTTCTTTGCAGTGTTGATTACAATCGTTTTGGAAGTCTGTTATCGCTGAATCCAGCCGTGTTGAATCGTGGAAACGATAGTTCTACGATCAGGAAGAAGAGTGCGTGGTAAGTAATTTCTCAACTTCCTCGCAATATTAAGCTAAATGATGAAATGTAAACCTTTAATATTATAGATAATCAATACTTCCGTCGAAAAATTGTTCTCTCATAACTATTTCTAAACCTGAGCTGTTCATTATCTCCGATTCAAGTATCTTCCTTACTCAGAATTATACCTTTGTTTTTAATTTACTTGAAATCTGTTAAAGAAACAAATTAATCTGTCCCAGTTTGTAGATTTATTTTTTCAGAGGTATAATTTCTCAATTTGTTCCATTTTTTCTTTCTTGTTTTAGTGTAACGGATAGCGTAAGGCGTGCAAGAAGGCATGAAGAGTACACATCAATAACCGACGCGATTAATTTAGATGAGTCTTCGCAATCTGATAAGGTTTTCAATCTTTTTTCTCATACTATGACACCTGTTAATTTGGATTTTCCGAAAGAGTAATCCATGTATTAGTTGAGAATCCATGTATTGTATATACATGAATTCTCATTGTAATGAGAATTCATGTATATACATTACTTTATATGAATTAATTAATTCATTATTAGCAATTTTAAATACTATCTTAATACAATCAAAACTAATAGAATTTTTTTTCTTGTTTTATTTTTATAAACAAAGGTAAAACATTTCGGTCTCACTAACGGTAGATGGCGACATTAACGCAAAATAGCCATCAATAAAAGAGAAAGACTTGTTTGAGTGACAGATGACGGATAATTGATTACTGTAAATTATTTGATATTATCATTTTCTTTTTATTTTATATTTCAATTTTTTTCAGATTCATTTTTGTGATAATGATCTTCCCGAAACACATAATGATCGCCACGTAGAGAATGACGATTTAGTTGAAGATGTTGATAATATGGAACCGGAATATAGCGGGACAATCACTCCAACAACAACTTTAAGAAGAGCAAAAGAAAGCTTTTTGCGTCAACAAAATGATATTTTTAAAGAGTATGAGGAAGTGCGAGTTTTCTCTTTGTTGAATAACGACAAATTTTAATCGAGATATTTCTAAAATTTATGAAATCGCGAATTTTTTCAAACGTGAACAATTTATATGAAAAAACTAGCTTTTTTGTAGTTTATTCATAATTATTTCTCTTTCTCCTTTTTGTACAGCATACTGAAATCAGTACTATATACGTCACTATTTAACACGAAACAGTAATGATGACATTTAATAAGTATTTAAATAGAGGATTTCATTTATAGCAAGTTATGGTTACTGGTCCTAGCGAATCAGCTCCGATTAATGAAAGTGATGTTGGAGAGGAGATGCCGAGTGGTGTTAGTGATATAGGAGAGGAGTCGAGGATTGTTCTGGGTGATGAAGAGCTTCCAGATTCGAGCAAAGTATGATCAATTTTATTTCCTACTTCAAATAGGTATACCGTCAATAGTAAGTAGTTGACTGGTGCTACGAAAGACATTTCGGATTTTTGGTCGGTTGATATATTCTTTTAATCGGAATGCAAATTTCTTTATTTTCAAAGATTTTCAATTTCCATTGCAGGAGTATATCGAATTTAGCGCTGAGCATCATTCAGAAAAGGACGCATGTGCTGTCATAGTATAATCATATGCTATCACATTAACGGATAAATTTATTCCTAATAGGGATACATCCGGTTATAGAATTCGTACCTTTACTTTCTGTTAAGATAGAAAGTATTCGAATTTATGGATTTCGTCGATTACAAAGTTCCACTTCATTATTCTCCTAATTGATGATTTTTTTATATTTGGACTTCGTTCAGAAAGGCTAAGAAGCTAATCGTTGAACATAAATTCTATGTTAGAAATACGAAATTCCGAAATTACAACCTATGACTGATCAAAATGGAAAATGTTCAATCGAAAATTGTTGGATATTTCGGAATTTCGAATACTTTGAATATGCTTTATTTCGTTTGTGATATATTTATATATGCATATGCCAATGTTTTTTATAATTCTTCATTTTCCATTGTTTTATTTTATTGTTTTAAGTCACTATGATGAATAGAGTGATTTAACTTTTACGACCATTTATTTCTAAGTCACGTATCAGAAATTTATTCCACATTTTTTCCCACTTTTTTCACCGTTGTGTTTTACTTAAAATTTTTTTTATCAGTGGCTGAAATTTGAATTTAAGCAGCAGAAAGTGAAATTAATTCAAGGGATTTTTTAGTGAAATAAATAATCATTGGGATTATCTGAAATTATAACTGTTCAAACATTTCTCTATCATTTATCTATAATTGAATAAACGAAATATTCAGCAAATTTTATTTCTCACCATATAAGAAAAAGGCTGAAAGAATGGGACGATGCGATGCGAGAATTACTTTATCAAATAAATTTATTTTCTAAAAAGATCATTTTTGTCACAAATAAGTGGATCAAATCATTCATAACAAAAGTAGAAAATACTGCGATATTCAAAAAGTATGAAGTTAGATTTTGTTTTATTTCAACATAGATCTAAACATTTCCATTTTTTGCTTTTATTTAATGAATAATAAAAAGTCATACGAAAACTTCTAAATGAAATTTATGTAATTGACGGGAAGTTTTCAAATTCAAAAGATTTGAACATTGTATTAGTTTGAATGACTATCGAATTGAGCAAAAGCATTAGAACAAGATTAAGTTAAATAATTTTTGTAATCTAAAAAATAAATGACTGTCAAATTTGAAAAATTGTTAGCTTATTTAAAAATTTTAATATTATCCAGCACTTTGTTTAACCAGTACATGAATTGTTTGATTAATTTTAAGTTTAATCAAAAAAACCACTGATTCAATAAATTAATTCACTGACGACATTCATTCTAATCTCATCCATATGAATTTACAACAGTACAGCAATGGATAAAATGAAATATCCGATCACCATCATCGCCTTATTCCATAATTCGTACAACATAACCGATTAATAGCACATTCGTGGAATTCCGAATTTTCTTCATTCATACAAAATTTCCTTCAATCGTAAGCGGTATATAATCCATTATTGTTATGCGAGATGGTACCATCCGAACTGACCGCACTTATCGAAAAACGCATTTTATGTACATTACAGTAGTTACGGTTGAAAAATGTGATCAATTAATGAAAGCAAAATATTTTCAATAAAAGTTTTTTGCATTCAGGTTTTGTTTGGTATTTCGAAAATCAGCGATAATGCAAATTATTTAATCAATAAAATTTGAAACAATCGATCACTGAAAGTATTGAAAATTCTGAATCAGATTACAATCAGGTGTAACTGAGGTTTCGAAATTCAACTCCAAATCTTTTCTGAAACAGATTTTTCCATTTTTCATTTTACTGACGCACTATCATTATTTTTTTATTTTTGAAGGCCAAAAACAAAAGATATTACTACCACACATGCTTTCGGACGTGCCAATATTAAACTATTCTTCTAAAGCATTTACACGCAATTGATAGAATAAAAATATTAGTAAATTTTCCCTTTCGCACTTTTCTCCCCATTTTTTTTGGATTTCCAAATTTACATTTATATGTCAAGATCATCTGTCATGGAACTTGAACTAGGATGCAATTAGGGCAGTTGAGACAGACATTAATTTTTTCATCATTTATAAAACCGACAGACTTTCAA